TATTATGTTTATTTGTGTGTTTGTATCTCCATCATCTTATTTTATGCTAGAAACTTTAGTCTAACATTATATATATGCTACAGATCTGCATTTCTGATATTAAAATATAATGTAATACATGAAATGGCAAGTATTTTAAAGCTGAACAATTTTAGTCAGTAAACTCTTTGCTTCCTCTTGTTAAATTATGAAGCTTTTTTGAATAAGTACTTCCTCTATTGTACTTCTATTAAAATGCGTGACTCAATATTATATTGACTTAGTTGTATTGGTTCAATACTTAATTTTGAAATATCACTCATTTTTAATGATACACTGAGAATTAAATGTATTATAATTTTTGGAATACAGTACCATCATATAAGAAGAGGTATCACAGAGTGTTATCTAGCTTGATGAGTAGACATCACATAGATTTATTAAAGTGTATTATAAAAATCCAGGTACTATAATAAGAGTCCATTGCAAATAGTAAATATAGTATATGGTTAGATAAGGCTTTAATTGGGTTCCTAGCTCTCATTCCTGATTATGAATTTACTATGCCATTACTGAGGGTAGAGTTAAAGCAGGGGTCAGAAGTCTGTGTCCTATGGTCCAAATGTGGCACACTGCCTGTTGTATTTAAGTTTTCCTGGAACACAGCTACGCCCATTTGTTTATGTATTGTTTATGGCTGTTTTTATGTTACAGTGGCAGAGATGAATACTTGTAAAAAACCTCATGCCCTGCAAAGCCCCAAATATTTACTATTAACAAGCCTTTTGAGAAAAAGTTTGCCAACCCTGGATTAAAGGATTGGAATATACTGATAGTCCAATTAGAGATAGGTAATGAAAAGAGTATATTAGTAATATTCCATACTGGCCTGATTTCTGTAGAGCAGGATTGAGTCAGATATAGGAACAAAGTAGATGTGTCTTGGTAGGTAGTTTAACAAAAGACTTCCAACTACGTGGAATCAATTTGGGATCACTTTTCACTATAGTCTTCAAATCATTGTCTTTTTCCCTTGCATTCACAGTGATCTATAATGTCCAAAGGCAAACACACTTTTGTTCTGGTGGCTTTAGAAGGTTCGTGGAATGACTACATCTGGACTAGTTAGGAAAACTAGAACAAGACCTCATATTAATGCAAAGCACAATGAGCATTGATGATACTGATCAACAACCGGAGATCCTGATCCCTCTTTGCTACTTTTCTTCGTGTTGTAGTTCTTTGTGTTGTAGTAGAAGTCATACCATGATGATATGTAGATATTTAGATGACATTTAGCGTCTTTAAAGGTGCCAGTGTTCAACATTCAGGTAGAAAAAGAAGGACATTCTTGGGAAAAAACCTTTGAGTAAAAAGTGGGTTCTGACATTTGCTGAATTCTAATGTGCTTTAGAAGCCAAATATAGGCACATTCTATTTAAATTTGAAGAAACAGCCTCTTTAGATCCTGAGTAAATATTTATTTTCCTAAGTCTAAACTGGGACATTTATTATCTTGGAAAAGAAAATAGGTACTGAACCAAACCTCAACCTTAAATATTTTGTTCTGAATATCCTCTTTTTTATTCTTGCTTTCCCATTTATGAGCATGCTCTTTTATTTTTTTCCTGCAGACAATCTTTATTTCATCAATGCCTTTGAGTCTGAAACACTAATAGAAGTTCTGCGGATCAATACCACCTACCGCCGTGTTCTCCTTAGAGTCATAGTGGATATGCCCAGGGATGTTGTTGTAGACCCCAAGAACAGATACCTCTTCTGGGCTGACTATGGGCAAAACCCAAAGATTGAACGATCTTTTCTTGACTGCACCAATCGGACTGTGCTTGTGTCAGAGGGCGTTGTCACACCACGGGGCTTAGGAATGGACCACAAAAATAGCTATATTTATTGGGTCGATGATACTTTAGATGTAATTTCAAGGATTGATATTGAGGGAAAGGAATTGAAAGTGATTCGTTATGGCAGTCGCTACCCAACTCCTTATGCCATCACTGTTTTTGGAAGTTCTATCATATGGGTAGACAGAAATTTAAAAAAAATCTTCCAGGCCAGCAAGGAACCAGGGAACACAGAACCGCCAGCAGTGATAAGGGACAATATCAATTGGCTGAGGGATGTGACTGTCTTTGACCAGAGTGTCCAGCCCCGGTCAGCAGCTGAGGTCAACAACAACCCTTGCTTGGAAAATAATGGTGGATGCTCTCATCTCTGCTTTGCTTTCCCTGGATTACACACCCCAAACTGTAGCTGTGTTTTTGGGACCCTGGACCATGATGGCAAGAGCTGCACCATTACAAAAGAAAATTTCCTCATCTTTGCCTTGGAGAACTCCTTGGGAAGCTTACACTTGGATCCCGAAGACCACAGCCTACCTTTCCAAGCAATAAGTGTGGGAGGACATGTCATGGCCCTTGACTATGACAGCCTAAATAACCGAATTTACTTCACACAAAATTTAGAAGCTAGACATGGCCAGATTTCCTATGTGAACCTGGATGCAAGGATCAGTTCTCCCATTGTCATTGTTTCAGGTAAGTCCACTCCAGGTATGGCTTACTTTGGACACAGTGGGATCAACACGTAGATGACCAGATGATTCTCAAATGCATATGAGACTCTAATGTGTGTGTGTTTGTTGGTGAATGTCCAGATATAGGGACAACTGATGGCATTGCTTTTGACTGGATCAATAGAAGAATTTATTACAGTGACTACACCAACCAGACGATTAACTCCATGGCTGAGGATGGGTCTAAGCGTGCTGTGATAGCCCACGTTACAAAGCCAAGAGCAATTGTGTTAGATCCTTGTGGAGGGTATGCCTTCATCTTCTTGGTTATATTTCCATCTGCTTATTGCTGAAGGGAGAGGGGCCTGAAGTTATTTTATGTTCATGAGGGTCAACACTTTATGGACTTCTAACACTGTAGTTACTGATTCAAGGGTGAAAGAGCATAAGTGAATTTACTTGGGAAGGAGCTCATGTTGATGCTAGAAATGTTGGCAGCACACTAGGAAATCAATGCTCTGAGTCAGTAAATCCCCTGTGGGCATGTTGTGTGGGTGGGAGTCATTCCCTTTCAAGTAAAGGTTATGAAGTTAATTGTGATGAATTAATTATGACTCCTTTTGAATGATTAGGTATATCTACTGGAGTTCCTGGGGTACTAATGCCAAAATCGAGAGAGCCACAGTGGGAGGAAACTTCCAGGAACCCGTTGTGAACAGCAGCCTGGTCTGGCCCTGTGGGCTCACTGTGGACCACGAGGAAGACCTTCTCTACTGGGCAGATGCTAGTTTGTATGTGTCTTTGGTCATTCGTGTAGGTGCAGATAAGAAGAGTGCTTTCCACTTAGAAAGGAGAGAGATTTGCATAATGGAATGAAAATATGATATGTCGAATAGACATGACCAAAATGTAGAATCACAGTTTTAGGAACTATACCCTTGGTGGATGTACCTGTGAAAGTTGATGTATGTTAAGAGGTTGGATAATCATAAACTAAAAGGCATTAAAGATGCATTACCAGATGAATTACATTTCAACTATAATTACAAATGTAATCACTTAACCTGTAATCTGCAGCAGCGGTCCCCAATTTTTTTTGGCACCACTTCCTTCTTCAAGGAAGACAACTTTTCCACAGGGGGATGGGGGGTGGGAGTAAGAGGTAGAACTCAGGTGGCTTTGCTCACTCACCTGCCGCTCACCTCCTGCTGTGCTGCCTGGTTTCTAAGGCCATGGATGGGTACCGGTCTGCTGCCTGGGGATTGGGGTCCCCTGATCTACAGGATGCATGCAACTACCATAAAATGTGAATGATTTTAAAATATACTGATAATAAGTTTTATCTGGGCTTTAGTGTTTAATGTCCTATAAAAATGTTTTCCTTTAGTCTTGACTTTGGTTACCTCCCGAAATACATTCTTCTTGAGCTAGCGTCTTCTCAATTTCATTGTTTCCTTACTTTGTCAACTCTAATTTTATATGTAACTTCTCCAAGTACCCCTGAAATTACTCACATTTCTATCATCCTAATGGATTAGTTGAAGAGATGAGATGATTGTGTTTATTATGGCTGGTATCTACATGTCAGGAATCTTAATTTTTCTTGATTATTATTTTATGTTTTTGGGCCTGTGACACTGAGTACCTAACAACCTGATCTTTTCTTCATTTTCTCATTTAAAACAAAATACCTCAAGGTACTTGATAAATGACAAATTTAAAAATTTGTTAAGAGAGTAGGAAGGGAAATAGAATTAACATTTCATTGTATTGTTTTATAATATTCTCATGTTACTCATGTAAGCCTGGTCCCTTTTATAGGATTACTTGTAGATTATATTAATATTTAGAAATCAGTGATTTATACAGGCCATTGCTTGATAAGCAAATTAAGAGCCCTCATTACCAGAAGAAATATGACTTGTTGGCATATACTCCACTTGAAAAGAAAGTTGGGGGCTTGTGCAATGCAATGGTTAGACCCAGGCAATGTGTTGCCCATTGAGGAACTTACTCCTTCTGGATTCCAGCATTTTTTTTTTTTAAACTTTGTTTTAGGCGCAAAATTGAACGCAGCACTCTAAGGGGCATGGAGCGTGAGGTCATTGTCAGCACAATCTTCCGTCCTTTTGGCTTGACTGTCAATGGCCAGTATATTTACTGGACTGAGTGGTTCACGAAAAAAATTTACCGAGCCAACAAATATGATGGATCAGGTCAGACCGCAATGACCACGAGTTTTCCATTCCGGCTTATGAGTATTCGTGTTGTTGTGAAGGACCAGCCACAGCAGTGTAGCAATCCTTGCGACCAGTTTAACGGGGGCTGCAGCCATATTTGCGCACCAGGTAAGGCATTCCCCGTGAAGATAGAATCAAGGAGAATAATAATAATGATGACAACTTAGGGAAGGCGGAGGGAATATTCAGCTCTAACAGGAGAATAGTTCTCGACTTGAGGGTAATTAAAAATATGGATTTTTGGGGAGATCCCTTTGTGGTTCATAAGTGTGATGACTGGGTGTTCATGCTCTTGTGTGAGATATACTCCCTCAAACCTTGTTAGGATGTTGACACAGTACCTCTCTGATGTGGGAAATAATGGATTTGGGAGTCTCTATGTTGAGAGGAAGGCTTTGATATTTTTTTTTCTATTTGATAAGATTTCTTATAAATGCATTTTTAATTCAAGTTTTATGGAGGTAGAAAGATAGGGGTTTGAGATTTAATTCTTCCACTTAGGAGGTATTATCTATAGTTTGAAATATTTCTGATGATATGATGTGTGATATGTGCTTCATAGTGGGTTTTATTGAGAACAACGAATTCATAGGAAGAGGTGACTTTTAATACTGTTGCTTTGCAGATTTTGCTGAGAAGGCAGACGCATTGTAATTGTGGCAGTGTAGATGAGAAGTTGTTCAGAGATGGGGGTGAATTAGCCACATTTACTAATCGGTGGTAGTTCTTGATGGCAAAATGACGCAGACTAACATTGAAATGTTGATGGGAGTAGTCTTCGTGGCTTGGCTTACAGCACATTTAATAGAGAGGATGTTGCCAAGTGCTATTCTAGGGGAGAAAATATGAATGTTTGCTACACAAATCTTTTGCTTTCCCTGGGCCTACCTTTCTTCAGGTCCAAATGGTGCTGAGTGTCAGTGTCCACAGGAGGGACGCTGGTATCTGGCCAACAACAATAAGCACTGCATTGTGGACAACGGTATACGGTGTGTTGGTTCCAATTTCACCTGCCTCAATGGGCGCTGCATCCCAGATCAGTGGAAATGTGACAACAGAAATGACTGTGGTGACAATAGTGATGAGCTCGAAAGTGTTTGTGGTGAGTTGGACTCTTGGAACTTCTGGTAGACACTAATGTTGTCTTATGCAAGTGTTTGGCATAGAATGCTCCTGCGTGTGAATAGGTATTCCATCTATGCCTAAGCATCGTATTAGAACTCAAAAGTGTTTCCTCTGAGAAGCCAGACTGTGTTTCTCTAAACCACATATAAGTTGGTATATATGCCATGTAATAGTTTCATTAGGAAGCCCCTCTGAAGTGGCCAAAAGCAAAAGTGCGGAATTAAAATCCTGGCTATGCCATTTACACAATCTGTATAGCCCTGGGAGAGTTACTTAACCTCTCTGAGCCTCAGACATCTCACCTGTAAAATGGAGTTATTACTAGGATTCTTGGGAGGCATAAGAGAAACAATATAAAAAACACAGCATAAGGCTTGATGCATGTTAAATATGACTTAATATAGGACTAAGGGCTCCAATAGGTGATTATTATCATTTTATTAATTTAAGTAGCAGAAAGACCATTAATTCAGTCGTTTTATTGAAATCACTCCCAGAATACAGGCTGCATCTGAATGGGGTAAGTAAAACACAGCAGACTGTTTTAGAATGTTCCTAGGTTATTTACCTTTTTCCAGTAGACTCTGCAAAGAAACTGTATTTACCTGCTTTTCTGTGATTGAGATGATAAACAGAGTGACTTCATTTGCTTAAAATACTTGCATTGTTAGAAAAAGGATATATCATATTTTGCTTAATCTAACTTTGCTTTAATCTAACACCTTGCTTAAAATGTTATCTCACTTTGCATGCAGCCCATTTTGCAGCCATTTTTTGCCTTGGAAGGTAAACTCTCAGTGTCTATTCTAATGGATTGTATCTTTTGAGAAATTAGAGTGATGCTTAAATCAAGAGGTTTCTTCAATGTTTTTTTCCTCCATAGCGTTTCACACCTGCCGTTCGACAGCCTTCACCTGTAATAATGGGAGATGCGTCCCCTATCGTTATCGCTGTGATCACCAGAATGACTGCGGTGACAACAGTGATGAGGAGGGCTGCCAGTTCAGTGAGTGTAATGCCACCAGGGAATTTACTTGCGGTAATAAAAGGTGCATACCTCTTGAGTTTGTCTGCAATGGTGTAAACAACTGCCATGATAACGATGCCTCAGATGAGAAAAATTGCCGTAAGTTCATCTTAAGTACTTATTGTGCTTTGGGGTCTGAAGTCTTGGATCATGGGTTTTCTGAAAAACATAGCACTAAGTGTTCATCCAAAACATATATTTCATTTAATATATTTTACTAAATGATTTTTAGAAACAACTCTACTTAACATTTGAATTATTTGCCTAAATGTATGGGCCCATACAACTGTTGGCTATTTTAACCTTAAATATCTTATCTTTGGTTTATGTATCTGCCAGATTAAAAGTTCACTTGACACAATATCTGATTGTTTTGAAGCTTTACCAATAGCTACTGACAAAAGAGTTATTGCATAAATGTTTTGTGGTTAATGTTTGTTGAGCAAAAAGCTATACAGTACGGTGTTGACTGAAACGATTTGTCTTTTTAGTTTTTCTGATAAGTTGCTTTATAGTTAATTGATTTTTCTAAAAGGTCTGGGATTTGCACTTTAGCATCTTGTGAAAACAAGAGAGCAGTGTAGGTCCAAATATATTTTTATTGTAGATATATTTACATGCTCTGTTGCTTTTGTAGGTAGAGTTACATAAAATATTTATTTAGATGTGCTTTAAAAAATAACTTTTCTTATGAAAAATTTAAAATATACACCAAAGCAGGAATAATAGTATAATATACCAATCATCCAGTTTCAACATTTATCGACAAATGGCCAATCTGTCTCATCTATCTCCCTCGACTTTTTCTGAGTATTTTAAAGTAACTCCCAGACATGCATATCATTGATAAAGACATTTTGAAAGACAACTACCATGCTATTATAATACCTAGCAAAATCAACAATACTTAATATCTTCCAGTATTAAGTCCATATTCAAATTTTGTCACTTATCCCCAAAATGTATTTTTACAGTTGCTCTATTCAAATTAAGATTCAGACAAGGTCTACAGATTGATCTTGATTGTTATAAATCTTTATTGCTTTTTATGCCACAACGGTTCCCACTTTAAAAAAAAAATACCCTTGATTCATCTTGCGGAATGTCCTACATTCTGGATTTGACTAGTTGCATAATTGAGTTATTTCATTTGTTATTTTATTTCTGTTATTTCTTACTAACTGGAATTTAGACCTAGAGTTTTGAATATATTAGGTTTAATTCTTTGGGTAGAATACTACATAGGTGAAATTGTATTTTTCCTCTTGCATCACATCACAAGGCACATAATGCTTGGTTGTTCTGCTTTAGGTGATTATAAAATTAATTAGTGAATTTAGGAGTCAGTCTGAATCTTCCCTTAGGAACTTCCCATCCACCATTTACCCAGTGGCTTAAACATCCATAAATGGTTTTTCCATAAATCCATTATTTCAAAATAGGCATTTTTAAATTCTCTTATTCCTTCCACATTTATTAGCTGAAGGTCCATAAAGAAGAAGCTCTTATCAACTATTTTGTTAACCTAAATTACAAGTCAGCAGGATAAATGCTTGATTCTTTCCCTATATGTGTCAGTTCTCAGTGAAATGAGTTGGTGAGCAACAAGCAATAAGGTTTTGTTTTTAGTATTGTATTAAACTCATAGATTTTCACATAATTTTTGAGTTTTAATACTGTGAATTCTTTTTTTTTAAAAGATTTTATGTGTTTATTTTTAGAGAGAGGGGAAAGGAGGGAGAAAGAGAGGGAGAGAAACATCAATGTGTGGTTGCTTCTCATGCGCCCCCTACTGGGGACCTGGCCCACAACCTAGGCATGTGCCCTGACTAGGAATCGAACCAGTGACACTTTGGTTCACAGACTGGCACTCAGTCTACTGAGCCATACCAGCCAGGGCAGTAATTTATTATTTTTGGTGTTCAATTTTCCAATCTCAGGCCAGCAGGAGCCCTGTTCAGTTGGCTCCTCTGTTATTTTGACATGGCCTATTCAGTCCTCTGTAGCTTAGATTTATACATTCCTGCCTCAGACTTCGACGTAACCACTTATCCAAGGAGACTTTGTTCCTTTGTGGTATTTAAAAGTTACTATGGCATTGGAGTACCTTACTTCTGTTTGGCTTTCATTGCTTCTAGGCGTTTTCAGTGGACAGAGGTAGGAAGCACTTTTTTTTAGGGAAAAAAATATATATCAGCATTTCCCATTTTAATTTAAGATTATAGGTGTTTTACTCAGATTTTATAATCACGTCTCTTCCTTCTCTAAGCTAAAAATCTTGATTTCTAATATATTAGCATAATGACTTACTTGCTTTATTCTAATATAATTTTAAAATGCCCACACAAACAATACTACTACCAATAAATCTACTAAGTGTAGTTTAAGACTTTAGGTCCTTCGTGTTCTCAGATTATATCCCTCTAGTGATATACAGTCAAAATCCTGGTTTTAAAGACGTTTGAATTTTTTTCTCTGTATGGTTATGCTTATCAACTTGATTCACCATTAACTTTATTTGTTATTATTTCCAAATTTAGGAATTGCTTTTCTTTTTTTATTTTTAGTTTGTTTTTATTTACTCAAACCAATATACATGGTTTTAAAGTCAAATTTATTTGACAAGGTACATTAACAGAAGCCTTACATCCTGTCTTCTCTATCCTGACCCTTCCATATTATTCTCAATCTCTCCATAGGGGTGACATTTTCATTACTTTTTTATTATTGCTGTTGTTAATTGAAACATATCTGTCTCTCTGTGTTTCCACACCCACATTCACAGACACACACACCATTGTTTTTCTTACATAGAAGATAGTCTACTGTTTTGAATTGTGCTTTCTTACTGTTAACATATCCTGGAGCTCAAAGAATCATTCTTTATTAATATATAGATATCTTCTTAATTCCTTTTTATAGCTACATATTACTCCATTGTGTGGATATACCATAGTTTATTTAACCAAAAGTTGGGGCTCTTGCTGATGCTATTAAATAATGAAAATGATTTAAAGTGCAAAGCAAGCCTCCCTATCTCTCCATGTGGTTTTGGCTGGAAATACCTTTTTTCTCTAGAATCTGTGGTATAACTTAAGTGCCATGAATCATGCCTCTGTAATAACTTTGAAAATGACTCCCTTCTGGTGGTTCAAATTCTGCAATAAATCCATTAACATGGATGTTCTTTGTGGTGTAT